CACCTCAATACTGCAAGGTTTTCTTTATATATATATATATATATAAAGTTTCTTTCCATTTGATTGGTTTTTTTCAAAGAGGAACATTCAAAGAAAAACAACCTTATAAGGCAAACCCATGAATCGACACAAAAGCATCAATCCATCTTTTTATACACTTTACTTTGTTCAAATCTTTCAACTCTTCACCAATGTGAGACAACTAAAACTCAATCACAATTCACCATTTGAGAATACTCAATTCTCATTGTGCTACCTCATCACCGCAAGGTTTTACTTTTATATTTCTCATGGTGCCACCTCATAACCCTAAGGTTTTACTTATATATATGTATGTATATATATATATATACATATATATAAGTAAAACCTTATATATATATATATATATATATATAGGTTGGTTATTATACAACCCTTGATATTTGTGCAACCAATACAACTCAATCTTAATCGTCCATTTCATTTGATTAATATGTGATTTCATAGAAGTTTTGATTGTTTCCTAATATAAAATATTGATCATAATTAATGAACCATATTCATCTTTCATAAATATTCAAATCATAATAAATGAACTCTCATCATTTCCATAAATATCTCAATTTTTTGGGTTGCATTGGTTGTACAAATACGATTGATTGTATTTGAAACAAACTCTCTCTCTCTCTCTCTCTCTCTCTCTCTCTATATATATATATATATAAAGATATAATAATATAATATAATTAATTTTGCACTACAATTTCTACCGTTTGAAGCAAACTCCATTATTTGACACAAAGACATTCAATTCATCTTTATTATACACTTTATTTTGTTCAAAATTTTCAACTCTTCACCAATGTGGGATATCTCAAACTCAACCACAATTCACCAACACCTCAATATTTTCAACTCTTCACCAATGTGGGATATCTCAAACTCAACCACAATTCACCAACACCTCAATACCCAATTCTCATGATGCCACCTCAAATACTCATGGTTCTTCTTTTAAACTTGCTCATAACGTTACTAACGACCATAAATGAAGTCCATGATGAAATATAAACCACATGGATCTTAATGTAACTACCAAAATCGAGGAACGAAAGCAAGAGTTTCCCCGAACTATATAGACGATTTTTGTAAATTACTTTTTTCCTCAAATAAAACAATTTTTTTATATTTTCTTTAAAATGAAAGATGAAAAATTAAAATATTTTAATTTCTTTTTATAAAACTTCAACAATTTCTTTATTTAGAGATTCTAATATTAAATATTTTTAATAAATAATTCAATACATTAATATTCAACAAACTTCTAGCATTTAATTGATGAAATTAATAAAATAATATATCTTTCGACCAACATTCAATTTGAAGATTCTCTAAATTTAGAGATTTTCTATAATGCAATTTTTTTAAATTGGAGAAACTTTTGGGTAGTGTTTGGTGTACATATTAGACGACACAATATATGACAAGATTAATTGTTTGTCTTGCATTATTATTATTACACACACACACACACACACATATATATATATATATATATA